CCAAAAGTTCCATATTTATTTTGAGTGTTGTATGCTTATGCAACTCATTTTCAATTACGTTTATGGAGTCCTGTGCCACATTATTCATATATTCAGTAACGTTCAAAGTCTCTATGCTAGCGGTTATTTGATAACTAACTATTCTACCTCGGAATGCACTTCGACATACTGACACATTATTTTGTAAAGGTCTCCATAGATGTGCCTTATGTTTAATGCTTTTCAGATGTGCCGCATGTGCATTCCTCGATACCTCACAGCTGCAACTCTCACAGCGAATTGTCCTGCTACCCGCACTCGCTTGTGAATCGTTGCCGGTGGTTGAACTCTCTCGACTTGCGGCCGGCACTACGACGTCGGATGGTGTAGGACTCATTCGACTGGTTCCAGGCACTGCGACGGGGGGTGTTGCAGGGTTCACTCGTCTAATGTTGACACCTGCGGCTGTCTGGGTGATGAAATCTGCAATAGTTGGCTCATTGTTAGTAATCTCACCCTTCATACGTTGTTGCTTGGAAGGTCTTTTCTCGCTTATGCAGACCTCTCTAAGATGTCGCAGTAAATTATGGCGTGCTGAGAAGGTGTGCTGACAGCGAAAACATTGCAACTTGTCTGCAGTGCGGCGCGAAGAGGATGCATTACTGTCCTCGAGGACTTGGGGATTGGGGAATGCTGGAGGTACCACCTTCCTGGTTAAAGGATGCTGAAACAGATAATTCTGTTAGTGATTTTATTCGATTTTATTTTCTAATTGTTCAATACCTGTTCCATCTCGAAGACAGATGCGCTTCGATGCTGGCTCACCATCTTGGCTGCACCGCTCTCTACCGTGCTTCAACAAATTTTTTCTCGCCGTGAAGGTCCTTTCGCACTTTAGACATTGGAACATCGTGAAGCGTGTACGTATTTACTCTGTTTCCTGCAACAAAATCATTATATATATATATATATATATATATATATTCGGCTGCGCTTAGCGTTATCCAGTGTGGCCACGGGGAGGCGGCAGCCACCACACCATCTTCTGGATCTGCTTATGTCGCATCTGAAACAAAAAAATATTTTAGCTGCTGTACGTTGTTTTGAACCCTTTGCATGTTTTTTTTGTCACACCTCTACATGTCTACCGGTATGTAGTACCTTAACATCAGCAGATCCAGCGCCTCAATATGCACATTCTGTAGTTGATGCCCATTGCGAAACCAGTTCATCCCTCTTAACTTAACTGTCCCTTCACTGTCTAGCCCCCTCCTCATTCGCAGCCCGTTCGAGTTGCGTGAGCGGCAATTCTTCGATCCACGTACCCTGATTTAGTTCCATCGCGATCTGTTGAAGTTGTGCCAACGGTTCTCTCAACTCGACGTCGCGCGCACACGCGGCCCGTTCAAGTTGCGTGAACGGCAAATCTTCAATCCACGTATCCCGATTGAGTTCCATCGCGATCTGTTGAAGTTGTGCCAACGGTTCTCTCAACTCGACGTCGCGCGCACACGCGGCCCGTTCAAGTTGCGTGAACGGCAAATCTTCGATCCACGTGTGGCGATATAGTTCCTCGTCCGCACCATACCGTTCACTCGCGACCGCGGCAGACATCAACGACTCTTGGGGTGTCGCAGTGGCTCTGGACGTGGACGGCCTCGACTCCGCTCCCAACAAACTCAGTTCCAATGATGGCCAAGCATTGTACGATCCATCATTGTTGCACTGTCCAGGTTCGGATTGAGGGATGCTAACAATGCCTCAATGTTGATGTCGCCATCATCGTTCGACACATTTTGTCCGTCGGCGATAAAATTGTTAAGCATGGTTTGCGAGCCATGCTAACAATTTCCACGGATACATCATTCGCCGAAGTACTAGGCATCGAAGCGCGAACGGTTTCAAGTGGTGGCACACCTGAACATTTTGTAGTATACGTACAACTTGGGGCTTCAACAGTTTTTCTAGAATTGGGCGCTGACTATCGGAGAATGTGCAGTACTTGCACTGCTTTCCAGGCGCACACAGACACTCTCTTGAGCACATTTTGGCAACCTAACACAGAAAACAATTTTATAATGTACTATTTTACTGATGCGTCCAATATGGAGCGTTTAGACTGCAGTGACGGTGTGCACCATTGACACTGATATAAATACATGTCCCCTCCTACCCACCTTTCACGACTTTCTACCTTCGCGATATCTACCATCTGCCTTTTAATTAACAGTCAAAATTTATTACCCATAATCGTTTATGCTCGAGGTTGACATTCCAGAAGCAGTTCGGATTGACAATCTCGTATGGGATCTCGATGATCCATCCACAGATTCAGGGTATACCAGTCCTTAATCATGGATGGATCGTTATGCATTTTAGTTTTAAGGAATTATGTCTAAGATTTATTTGTAAGGTTGTAGGCTTTAAGGTTTCTGTGAAACATATAAATAAAAAATAAAAACACTAGAACCATTAACTATCTATTCGTTAGCCGTAAGACCATAAACCCAAACCCAATAAAAGAGTTTACAACATCTATGCATTCTTATTATTATTACATTAATTTCATGTTCATAAACTTATTTTAAAAATTTTAAAATTTTCTTTAACGCGTCATTTACACCCACATCATTGTCTCTAATGACTTTATGCTTTTGTTGTATTATTGTTTATGTCTTCCAATTACTGATACCCTCGATTTCTATAAGTATTTTACAGAAATGGCTTAGTTAATGTTAGGGGTATAATACCCCTATATCTTTTTCCCTGGTGATATTACAAGAATTTGTTATTAGCATTTCCATCTCTATATTACCACTCCATTCCATTTCACTACATACTTTTATGAAATTATACATCTAGGTTAGGGGTAATTCACCCTTATATCTGTTTTCCTGGTGATACTACAACGTTTTGTTATTAGCATTTATGTCTCTTTATAATCCCTGTAATCCATTTCACTACATACTGTTATGAAATTTTATCTTTCATGTTAGGGGTACTTCACCCCCTATATCTTCGTTACTACCCTCCCTACACAAAAACTTCATAAGAACAAATAGGTTCCTTGTACTAGCTGTCTTCATTCCCATACTTTTTTTGTTATTATTTAAAAAAAAAAATTGTCAAAACTGATTCAAACTGTGCTTCTCTTCTCTTCTCTAATTATGTTTTTATATCTCTTCACGATACCAGTACTATATCCGTATACTTCCTTCTACTATCGGGGGCTGCTACCCCTTTACAAAAATCTTTAATATCTCCGTTGTTTGATTACCGATCAATTTCAAGCTTTTACCAAACTGTGCTTTGATTTTTTTTACAATTTTTTTTCACCCCTTTCTAGGGGTTGTCACCCCCAATTGCTTTAATTTACTTTTATCACTATATTTTTTATTTTTTCACTGATTTTTGAAATTTTTCAAACTACCTGTCTTGTATTTGCATGCCTACACTCAGTATCTTCACTTACCTTATCACACCGCCTGTTTTTCCCTATGACTTCGACACCTTCCTTCTTCGGCAACTATATAGCTGCTTCGCTCCCAACGGACTGTTGTCACACTGACGTATACTGCTCGATGCTATTCTTCTTTCACAATACAAGCACTTTGCTAGGTGCTTACTATGTATGTGCATCTTATTAACATATCCATCATCGTAGATACTAAATAGGGCATACTTTGCTCCTATGATTCACCTTTCACATACTATGGAGCCCATCATGCTCGTACCAATGTAGTAATACTGCTGACAACGTTCTTCGCTCCATTCTACACCCCTCGCATAGCTTTCTTGACACACGCTCCATTCTACATATGCATTTCTCACACTTCCTTCATAACTCAATCCGTATGGATAGCGCACTCTATATCCATCTTGCAGTTCACTCCATTTAATTAGAAATCCATTCCCTCCTGACATCACCCCACTGGCTAGTCCTCCTCGTACTCCTACGTTTTCCAAATCTTATGGGGAGTCTAACAAAGACCACACACACTTCTCGTCCTTCTCATTCGTATCGTAAATCCAGCCTATCTTATGGGGACGATGTTGCATACACGTCCCACAATAAACCAGAAATATGCTGCAACAGCACCACCCACACGCCCAGCGCCACCCCTTAGAGTACTTCAACCGTTTCTCCGTTTGACACACTAAGCACCGACTTTTCTTCACTATATTTACCATGCTATTGCAATGCTTGCAACAACTGAACTGCCTCCTCTCCGAGCGCTGCACTAATTTAAACACATATTTCCAAGGTCATACCTTCTACCACTCACGACTTCAAGGTCATATTTCAAGGTTATATTTCAAGGCCATATTTCGATTCAAGGTCACATTTCAAGGCTATATTTCAAGGTTGCATTTCAAGGTCATATTTCAAGGCCATGTTTCAAGGTTACATTTCAAGGTCACATTTCGAGGTTAAATATGCGTTCAAGGTTGGCTCCCAAGGTCGACTGTCAAGGGCGTTCTAGAACATACAAACCCTACCTACTTAAATGTAACAAGGGTTAGGAATGATAACTGTGGAAACGATTTATTATTCTGAATATATATTTTAATGCGCCCCAGGATACCACACTCATCCATAAAATATATTTTGATAATTGTTAAAATGAATGCCAATGCTCAGTTCATAGAAACTTGGTCACCCTGTTTAAAGCTAACCGTGGCTAAAACCGGTCCCACACGATGTGGCGGTGTGGCACATCGTGTGAGAGAGCGCTGACGGATTACGTCTCCAACGTTCGTCACATGGCACGTTCGGGCTCTTGTCGGTAAATTTGACACGCGGCAAAGGATGTTACAACGAGATGTCATGTGTTTGATGGTTTTAGGTTAGAACCAGTAGCGGCGAAAAACATTATTTTCTTATTACTTGTTTGCTGTGATTGTGGCGAAGTAGTGGTATGTGGGAAGTATTTTGATTTGAATACCTACCTGTTCATAATAATGTATGTTCCGTAACTTACTTTTGAGGAGAATGAATTAAATTAGCATACATACTAAGCATAGGCTGCCATAACAACACTTTTTTCATATTGCTAATATTTTGTAGGATTCGCCGGTGAGTTATGGCTGGCCTAAGGGCTCTTACACACGAACGTGCAATCCGCCGACCGGCTGTTCCACCGACCGGCAAGAAAATCGGAAGATGGTATTTTACCCACATTCGAATACAACTTAACACACTTGCCGGTACCGGCTATTCTGCCGACCGGCCGCCGTTCATATTAAAATTTGGACGGCGAACACACGGCTGCCGGTCGGTAAATTAACCGGCGCGTTCATTTCAATGCATGCAAGTCTATGCCTGTT